GACTCACCTGCTTCCCACCTCCAGCCCGGGTCAGTAGAGGAGTCAAAAGCTGAAGCTTTGGGGCACCTGGGTGGCTTAGCCAGTTAGGTGTCTGACTCCTGATTTTGGCTCAGGGCGTGATCTCAGGGTCATGGGATCGAGCCCCACCTCAGGCTCTGAGCTCAGCACAGAGTCTGCTTGTCCCTGTCCCTCTGCTTCTCCCCCTCTAGTGTGCTCTCTCTCTCTCTCTCAAATAAATAAAATCTTAAAAAAAAAAACAAACTGAGGCTTTTACTAGGCGCCTGGCTGGCTCCGTCAGCAGAGCCTGCTGCTCTTAATCTTGGGGTTGTAAGTTCAAGCTCCATGGTTGGGTATAGAGATTACTAAAAAATAAAATCTTTAAAAAACATGTTAAAAAAAAAAAGCTGAAGCTTTTAGGAGAAAGAGTTGAACATGAAGTGAGTCGCTGGCACAGCCCCATACATCCCTTCTGACAAGCATGTTTCCCAGGGAAGAATGAAAAGACCAGGAATGCCTCACTGGCGCTTGGCAGCCCGGTGCTGCTGGCTGGACAAGCTGTCTGTCAGATGCTTCTTGTGTCTGGGGCCTGGGAGCCAAGGGTCCTTACAAAACCAGGGTGGCCCGGTGGGATGGGCTGTGGTGGGGCAGGCTGAGCTCAGCTGCTCTCGGGCCTCCCCCACCTTCAGTGATGCAATCCTAAGTAGGGAAGAGACCTTAGGCATCAACCTGTTTTTTTTAAACTTTGATTTTTAAACTTTGATTTTTAGCCATGCAGCCCTCTGTTCTCTTAACCTTACTTGGAGATTAGTTCATTTCTCTGTTAACAGAGAAAATTGAGGCTTTGCTTCTCCCTTTCTGGGTCCAGTGCCTGCTTTCCCTGGACCTCTCCTCTGTGTGAGGCTTATGGAGGTGCAGGGGTCTGTCTTAATCTGGGAGGACAGAGAGAGATATGTTCTTCCTTAGAATTTTGTTCTTCTGAGCCCTTGGCCCTGGTATCACTAATGTTCTTCCCTCCTCCTCTGCTCCTGACACCGCACAGTGTTCTGTTCTGATAGGTCCCAGCTTGGGACAGGAAAGGCCTGGGCTTGGCCCCCTGTCAGTCAACCGTCCAGACCTTCATGGAATGACTGTTAGGTGCCAGTGCTGAGGGGATCCAGAGGAGTGCAAACCAGGGTCCTGGCTTTCAGGGAACTTACCTAGTTGGACATGTGAACACACCAAGCAAGAGACATCACTGGGGATGATCCCAGAACCAGTGAAACAGACAAGTAGTGTCAAGAGGTCAAGGGCAGGGACTGGACACTGCAGGGTTGGAGTTGAGAAGGCTTTTTGGAAGAGGATGGAACTTAAATGTGTCTTTAAAAGATGAAATGCTTTCTTGGGTGCCCCCATGGTATTTATTCTTTTTAGAGAGGGAGAGAAAAGGCAGGGAGGGGCAGAGGGAGAGGGAGAGAGAGAATCTTAGGCAGGTTCCAAGCCCAGCATGGAGCCCAACACGGGGCTCAGTCTCACAACCCTGAGATCATGAGCTGAAAACAAGAGTCAGATGCTTAACTGACTGAACCACCCAGGTGCTCTTGGTTTCCCCCATTTTAGACCAGGGAAGACAGTGGACCCATAGGAACTTTTGAGGTGTGCTAGTTTGAGGAATTTCCAGGTTGCATTCCTAAAATCCAGGGATGGGAAATAATTAATTGTGATAATAGTAGAAGACATTTCTTATAAAAACTGTGAGTCATATAATGTTCCCTTAAATCCTTATTACAACCTTATGAGGTAGGTACTATTGTCATCCCCACTTTACAGATGAGGAGACTGAGGCAGGCAGACTGTATGACTTTCTGGAGGTTACTGGGCTAATAAATGACAGAGCAGGAGTCAAACCCAGGCAGTCTTAGCATGAGTCTGTATTCTTGACCACTAAGCTCCACAGATAAGGGTTTGGTTGTTCCTACAACAGGGAAATTAAGGCCGGAAGCAGGGATGGGTCTGACACACACCGGGCTCTGGTATCCCACCCTTCTGCCTCTCTCCCCTATCCCTCACTGAGGTATGACCCATCCGCCATATGCCAGAAGAGAGACCCCAGACGCCAGGGCGCCTTGCACAGTCTGCCCCAAATCACGCTGGCCGCACGCTGGTCACAGCAGAAGACGAGTATGGCGGCTGCTCTTGCCCCATTTCCTTGCACTCCCCTAGTCAGGTTAATGTCTGGAGCAGTCGTTTCAGGTGGAGGAGAAGACCAGATGGCCAAAAAGGTAATGAGCTACCCTGGACCCACAGGCCTGCCCCAGGCTGGATCCAGTACATCTCTCTTCTCCTCTGATCCCCAGATAGGTCACAAGCTTGACATAATTGTTTCTATAAAAAAAATTCAGAGCCTGCAAAGCATAGCATTTCTGTCCTCCTCCCCTTCCCCCTACCCCAGAGAATTTCTCATTTTCCCATTCCTGTGGTAGGAAGTCAGAGTTTGGGGAGGAGACTGGAGAGCCGGTGGGGATGGCAGGTATGAGGACAGAAGGTCAGCTTCTCCTGTGGGTACCCAGCTGGGCATGGCCTCAGTCCTCTGGTCCTGTTGCAGTCTCTGGGGGCAAGCTGTCCTGTGGCTTTGCCTCTGCCCTCTCCCCGCAGGTGGTTACCTGGCAGGACCTGGGGGCGGACAGCCACACACCTGTATGTAGCCGTCTGAAGATGGGCTTTGTGGGGCTCCCACACCTGCGTCTGGGAGAAAGTAGAGACACAGCTTTAAAAAATCAGCAGTTTTTCTCCAATTATATAAAAGGGTCAGCCGGCAGAACATTTAGAAAAGATGAAAAGTCCTGTATCATTGTGCTACAACGGGAGATAGTCATGAACACCGTGGCAGACTTGCTCTTGTTTTTTCTTTCTGCACTGGGTTTTGGTTTTGTGCATGTGGTACAATGTGGGTGAGCTCATTCTGCTTGTACAGTTTTGCATTATCCTTATTTACCTTAGCATAGGAAGCAATTTTCTGTCATTACATAGTTTTCAGCTTCGTTTTATCTTAAAATTTTTATCAACATGACAACATGTACATTGTCAGGAAAGTCAGGTAGTACCCTTGGCCTTGTAATGAACAGAGCGGCGCCTGCCTAGCCCCCCGCTCTCCTATTGCTCTCTGGAGACACCTTTCAACTCCCCTTTCCTTGGAAATTGACTTCTGTGCTTCCAAATAAGATTCTTTTACTACTTTTTGTTCTTTAATTTTTCTTTTCTTTTTTTTTTTTTTTTTTTAAGATTTTACTTATTTATTTGACAGAGAGAGAGATCATAAGTCGGCAGAACAGCAGGCAGAGGGAGTGGGGGGGGAAGCAGGCTCCCTGCTGAGCAGAGAGCCTGATACGGGGCTCGATCCCAGGACCCTGAGATCATGACCTGAGCTGAAGGCAGAGGCTTAACCCACCGAGGCACTCAAGCACCCCTCTTTAATTTTTGAGTGTTAGATATTATCTCTTGACTTTCTACTATGGAAAATTAAGGCCTCAGCATCTTATATCACCAACACAGACATTTCCCATGCTCCCAAAATACTTATCACCAATTTTGGGCAAATTACTATGACTATGTAAATGTTTTCCAGAGCTGAACCATGTATGATTACATTTAGTACATAGTTTTTATAAACACAATTTTAACTCCCATGATTTTCCTTCCATCCCTCCATCCATTTATTTATTTGCTTTTATAAATAGCGCTGTAAAGAAAGTACACAAAAGGGGTGCCTGGGTGGCTCAGTGGGTTAAAGCCTCTGCCTTCGGCTCGGGTCATGATCTCAGGGTCCTGGGATCGAGCCCCACATCGGGCTCTCTGCTCAGCGGGGAGCCTGCTTCCTCCTCTCTGCCTGTCTCTCTGCCTGCTTATGATCTCTGTCTGTCAAGTAAATAAAATCTTTAAAAAAAAAAAAGAGAGTACACAAAAGCCTTCTTTTGTATGTAAGATTTTTCTTTTCTTTTTTTTTTTTTTTAAAGATTTTGTTATTGTCAGAGAGATAGAGGGTAAGAAGGGGAGCATCAGGCAGAGGGAGAAACAGGCTCCCCGCTGAGGAGGGAGCCTGGTGCAGGACTTGATCCCAGGGCCCTGCAATCATGACCTGAACCAAAGGCAGATGCTTAACTGACTGAGCCACCCAGGCACCCCTCTTTTTTTTTTTTTTAAGTTTTACTTGTTTATTTGCGAGAGAGAGTGCACATATGTGCTTGTGGGATGGGGGAGGTGGAGAGAGAGAATCTCAAGCAGACTTCCGACCGAGTGCTCCATCTCAGGACCCTGAGACAGTGACCTGAGCCAAAACCAAAAGCCAGACACTCAACCAACTGAGCCACCCAGGCACCCCTGTAGGATTTTCTTAAGCTATATTTTTCATAGTTAAAACTACTGAGACATAAGAATAAATTTCTTTGAACTTTTTTATTGGGGGCGGTGTTTCTTTTAACCTTGAACCGAAGAATGTGACTCAGTCAGTAAAGCAGTAAAGTACACTAATCTCACATGTGTTGCTTAATGACTTTTCACCTGTGTTTCCGCTAGGACCCACCTCCCAGATCCAGTTAAGAGAGAGAATATTTCCATTATTCAGAATGTTCCTCAGGGCCCTTCTCAGTTAAGCCCATACCCCCGCCAGCCCTCCTCTGGAGAGACAGCCACTTTTCTGCCTTCTGGTACCATCAGTTCATCAATTAGATTTGCCTGTTCGTGAACCAGAACAAGCATTTTGAAGGCTCTTGATGCCCAGGCAGTGGGCATCATTTTGGAAGACACAGCTTCTCGACCCCTCTCTTCTAGGGATAATAGACCTTAGCTATCTCTGATGCTGACTGGTGCTGCTCCAGGGCGGGAGACAGCTGCGTGGCTACCCAGGCCTGCACAGGCAAAGATGGATGGGGGGGGGGTGTTGGGGGGGTGGAATGGGCAGCGGCCCAGGGTGGTAGGCATACCTTGGGGAGCCGACTCCAACCAGCCACTTGTTTGACTAGGCCCAGTCCCAGCCGCAGCCACAGCCGCAGCCCCAGCCCCAGCCCCAGCCCCCATCATCCAACAAGCGTCCCAGCAACAGCACGCCACCCCCGACGCAGCTCAGCAAAATCAAGTACTCCGGAGGGCCCCAGATTGTCAAGAAGGAGCGACGGCAAAGCTCATCCCGCTTCAATCTCAGCAAGAACCGGGAGTTGCAGAAGCTCCCTGCCCTGAAAGGTACTTGGAAAAGGTCAAGGGCGCTGGTACACCAGGCCTAGGGGTTCCCGGGGGCACTGGCTGATGGAGGCTTTTGGGGTATTTTGGAGGGATGGAAGTTCTAGAGAATATGAGAGGGAGTTCCACCAGGGCTGGGTTGGGGGGCAGGTCGGTGTAGGGGAAAACCTTGTAAGGCTAGTAGCACAGGGCAGTGAAGGGCTGGGGACGAGAGTGTGACTGTTGCCTCCCTGCCCCCAGATTCGCCCACCCAGGAGCGGGAGGAGCTCTTTATCCAGAAGCTGCGCCAGTGCTGCGTCCTCTTTGACTTTGTGTCAGATCCGCTCAGTGACCTCAAATTCAAGGAGGTGAAGCGGGCAGGACTCAACGAGATGGTGGAGTACATCACCCATAGCCGCGATGTTGTCACTGAGGCCATCTACCCTGAGGCAGTCACCATGGTGGGCATGGGGCAATGGGGTGAGTGGGGAGGGACCGTGGCTGTGGAGAAGCCCAACAGGAGCGCTCACCTGGGTCCTACCGCTCAGTTTTCAGTGAACCTCTTCCGGACGCTGCCACCTTCATCAAACCCCACTGGGGCTGAGTTTGACCCAGAAGAGGATGAGCCCACCCTGGAAGCCGCCTGGCCGCACCTGCAGGTATCAGAGGGAGGGGGCAGTGTGGCCTGGCTACAGGGGATGGGGTGCTCGGGGACCTGCAGCTAGTGGGGATCTCTCAGACCTTGGGGAACTCCGCCTAAACGGATGCTCATTGCCCCCAACAGCTCGTGTATGAGTTCTTCTTACGTTTCCTTGAGTCTCCTGATTTCCAGCCAAACATAGCAAAGAAGTATATCGACCAGAAGTTTGTCCTTGCTGTGAGTCCCTGAAGTCCCTGTCCTGCCCTCCTTCTAGTCCATGAACTCTAGCCCCACGCCCCCTTGAGGCAGCCCTGCTCCTTCTCCATCTGTTGAATAGATGGGCTTTCAGCTGGGTCTGGTACAAAGGGACAGGTGGTGGTGGGAGGGATAAACAAACCTCTCTGCTCTTGGGAAGCTTCCAGCATAACTGAAGGAAACAAGCAACAGTTACCTCTTCCCCGGCAGTGGGGCACGTAAACGTGCGTATCCAGACATTGCCCTGGGGAGAGCTGTGTCTCTGCTTGCCAGAGACTTGTCCCCATGCCCCCCATCCAGAGAATCTCTAGCTGTCCCCTGGCTAGGACCCCGTGTCACCCTAGCCCTCCCTGGCTCCTACCTCAACTCAACTGCCTTTCCCGTCGCCGGCTCCCAGCTCTTGGACCTGTTTGACAGTGAGGATCCTCGAGAGCGGGACTTCCTCAAGACCATCTTACATCGCATCTATGGCAAGTTTTTGGGGCTCCGGGCTTATATCCGTCGGCAGATCAACCACATCTTCTACAGGTGAGGCCAGAAGCCAGGCTTAGGAGCAAAGCAAGCCCTGCTAAGTGGGGGTGGGAGCAGGGAGGTAGGAGGACTCTGCAGAGTGCTGGAGGGACATCAGGGATTATCAGGAGAGCCTTTCTTTCTTCCCTCAGGTTCATCTATGAGACAGAACATCACAACGGAATTGCTGAGCTCCTAGAGATTCTTGGCAGGTGAGAGGTGGGGTGGGGGGACGCATGCCCAGAGGCTGGAGGGATTGGAGCACTGAACTTGACCCGTCCTTTGGTCCTAACAAGCCTCTCATAATTCCTAGCATCATCAACGGCTTTGCCTTGCCCCTTAAGGAAGAGCACAAGATGTTCCTCATCCGTGTCCTGCTTCCCCTTCACAAGGTCAAGTCCCTGAGTGTCTACCACCCTCAGGTGAGCTGCCTTCCTCCTGATGATTCCTGACTCTGGCAGCAGAGAAAAGAGGGGGAGGGGAAGATATTCCAGCTGGGATGGGGGTGGCAGAAGGAGTGGGTGGGTAATTCCTCGGTACACCTCTTCTTCCATTCTGGGCTCTTGCTTCTGTCCCTGACCTGAGACCTGGGCCCTGCACCTCACCGCCTTCCTGCTTCAACCTTTTGCAGCTGGCTTACTGCGTGGTACAGTTCCTGGAGAAGGAAAGCAGTCTCACGGAGCCGGTAATTCCCCTTCCCAGCCCCAGGACACCTCTTCTTGTCAGTTAGACTTGCCAGTCTGCCTATCAAGTAATGCCATAAGCAGGGGCTCAAGAGGGATGTGACCCAAGAGGTGACACGCTTTCCTCTCTGAAGGAAGAGTAGAGCCTATGTATACGTAGGAAACAGATCCCGGTCAGAGAAACGTGAGCAGTTAAGGGGAGGCCACCCAAGCAGTGCCCACCCAAGTCGGGGGAGGGGCTGGAAGACTTCTGGCAGAGGCAGGCAGGTGTTGAGGGAGAATTTTATCCCTGTGCCCTCCTCACAGGTGATTGTAGGACTTCTCAAGTTCTGGCCCAAGACCCACAGCCCCAAGGAAGTCATGTTCCTGAATGAGCTAGAGGAGATTCTGGATGTCATTGAACCTTCGGAGTTCAGCAAAGTGATGGAACCACTCTTCCGCCAGCTTGCCAAGTGTGTCTCCAGCCCCCATTTCCAGGTGAGACGCTGACCTGCACATCCCTGTCCCCTGCCTCCCAGAAATTGGGGAGGGTTTTAAGCAGAGCTATCCGTGTCCCTGCTGAGTCCCACCTGTCCCCACCAGGTGGCAGAGCGCGCCCTCTATTACTGGAACAATGAGTACATCATGAGCCTGATAAGTGACAATGCTGCCCGAGTCCTCCCCATCATGTTCCCTGCCCTCTACAGGAACTCCAAGAGCCACTGGAACAAGTACGGGGCTGGGGCAGGGCTGGGTGGTGGAGCTCTGGTTTGGGACCCTGTAAGTGTGGGGAAGAACCAAAGAGCCAGAGGGCCTCATCTGGCCACCGAGCAGGGGGGCTGGTGCTCACCGCACGCTGATAGGCCCTTGAGGACCTGCCCAGCGAGGGGACAGCTCTGTGAGAGGACTGTGATACCATACAGCAGAGCAGGGCTCGTATCCTTTCTATGGCCAGATAGTGGGTGGCTTTGGAGACCTCATGATGTGCTCTGAGAAGCCCATGTGATCTTTGTAGCCTGTGCTGAATCCCAGCCTTGTAGAGGCTTTCCTGCTGAACACAAGTGCACTGTGGTGCCGATACCGTCCACCCTGCTGCGGGGAGACCATTAGCGTAGGCCAGAGGGTAGGAAGCGTTGGGAAGAAGGTAGGTCTTGGAGCATGGGGTGAGGGAAGGACAGACAGGCGGACCAATAGCTATAAAGACCCTGAAATGCCAGTCCAGTCACATGATTTGGCTAGAGAAAGCAGCTTACGCTGCAGAGGTCTCCAAAAACTCTTAGCAGAGACTCCTCCTGGGAGAGAGCACCGCCCTCAGCGTTGGTAAGACCTCCTATACCCGATCCTTCTTCCTGGCGGCAGGACAATCCATGGACTGATCTACAACGCATTGAAGCTGTTTATGGAGATGAACCAGAAGCTGTTTGATGACTGCACGCAACAGTATAAGGCAGAGAAACAGAAGTGAGTCTCTCTCTACCTGGGGGCCTCCATCTTCACCCCTGGGGTCCCTCTGGTTCTCTCTCAAGCCCACTCCCCTCCTCCAATCCTGTCCTTGCTCCCTTAGGGGCCGGTTCCGAATGAAGGAAAGGGAAGAGATGTGGCAAAAGATTGAGGAGCTGGCCCGACTTAATCCCCAGGTGAGGTTTTGCTGTTATTGCCCCGAACTCCAGGGCCCAGTTTGGCCGAGGGAGGGTTTGTTTGAGGAGGAACACGAAGCAGACAGGTCCACCAACTTCTGAAGTGGCTCTCACAACCTGCCCGTGCCTCTCCTTTCCTTACTCAGTATCCCATGTTTCGAGCACCTCCACCACTGCCTCCTGTGTACTCGATGGAGACAGAGACCCCCACGGCAGAGGACATCCAGCTTCTGAAGAGGACAGTGGAGACAGAGGCTGTGCAGGTGGGAAGGCACAGAGGGAGTGGGGAGCAGAAATAAAAGCTCTGGAAGGGAGAGGAGATGGGAGTAGCAGAGCCCAGGAATAAGGGGAGGAAACCATAGAATCTCTTGGGAATTGACCAGCATCCCTCACCATCTTGGTACCCACACGCAGATGCTCAAGGACATCAAGAAGGAGAAGGTGCTGCTTCGGCGGAAGTCAGAGCTGCCCCAGGACGTGTACACCATCAAGGCGCTGGAGGCACACAAGCGGGCGGAAGAATTCCTAACTGCCAGCCAGGAGGCTCTCTGACCCCCTCACCATCCTTCCGCAGGGCCACAGCCCACTCAGCCCTGGGACGCTGCCCTAGCCCTTCACCCTCTGCTCCCCACTGGCTGACTTGGGGCAAGGCAGTGCCTCTCTAGCTACTCTAGGGAGGGGATGCAGCACTTGAAGTGGGGACCCTTATACAGTGGTCTCTCTTCTCCCCCAGATGTGTTCATGCCTCCCTGTGGCTAGTACAGACAGGTTGAGCACTGAGATCCTCAGCGCTCAGACAACTTGGGGATGCCTGTCCCCCTCCTGCTCCTAACCCCACAGCTACTTGAGGCTGCTCTGAGAAATACACACAGGAATACATAACGCTCCTCTCCCCTTCCCTTCATCCTCTTTTGAACTCCAGGTGTCTTTCCTTTGCTCCCTCCCCTGAAGCACATAGGGAGCAGCAGATTACTCTCACCAAAGTTAGGTCAGGCCCCATTGGCCCCTGGAGTAGCTGGAGGGGAGCCAACCCCCAACAGGCACAAATAGGCCCCCAGTCCCAGCAGTGAGCAGGCTGATGGGGCTGAATTATTTTCTTTAACCCCTGCCTGACCAAGATCACATGGGAGGTCAAAAGGAGAAAAGCATAGGCTGTGGACCACAGGTGATGAATATAGGGCCCAGATGGACCAAGAGAAGGGGGTGAACAAACACCCTACCCTGTGCCCCCTCTTTGATGAGCAGCAGCCCTGGGATCACAGACATGGAAGGGACCACCCTGGGGCTGACTGTTTTCCCTGGCTGTTGGCTCCCAAAGCCAGGAGGCAGCAGGGCACAGTGCCCTGAGCATGGCTTCCTCAGCACCTGTTTATTTCCTGGTTGGTGCTGATGATGGGCAGGCCCCCACTTGTCCCTGCTGGACACCTTGGAAGGGCGAGGGGCTGAGGAGGGCCGGACCCAGGTCCCAGGGGCACAGGCAGTGCAGCTTTTGGCTGTGTACATAGGGTGCTTTATTCTCCACAGAGCGATACATGCGAAGATGGGTTGGGCTTGGGCCGATGTCCCCATATGTACAGAACTGAATAAAGTGGGTCTCTGAGAAGAAGTCTGATTTGCCTTGATGTGGAAAGGGAGATGGGAAAGATGGAGATGGATGTTACAACCAGGGATATGTTCAGTCCTGTGCTGGTTCTGGCCTGGAATGCAAGGGGATAAGGCAGCTCTCAGGCTAGTCACTTCCAGGCTGGGGCCCCCTGCCGGGCTTGGAGGGCCTTCTGTACCACATCTTCCCACTGGGCATCTGATATCTCCCGAGCCCAGGCCGGAACCCCTGGCGCAGGCAGGCTTACTCCAGCCATTGTCCTTTTCACCAGCTCCACATGTTCTGAAATCACAGAGAACAGTTAGGGGATAGAAACTATGGTACCAGCTCTGCTCCCCATTCCTTGAATTAACCCATAACCCTTGGGCTCGGAGGGCAACCAAATCTGTCTTGTTATTTCCAGGCAAGCCTGCCCACCACCCAAGTCTAGCACAATAGCATTTCACCTGGATTCCAAAGTCTGTAAAATTTTAGATTACAAACTATCATTTCAGGATCAGGGTGTTCCTCTGTGACTTCCCTTTACTGGGTCTGACCAGTCCCTTTCCTCCATCATTATTATAGAATGAAAGAATGTTCGCTTTACCCGGGTCCATGGGAATAGAGCTGTGGTTGCTCAATCCTGTAGCTCCCTCCTCCTCTTCATCCTCGCTCTCTAATGGTGGGTCTGGCAAATGAAGCCCCAGGGCCTGCAGAGCCAGAGAAGACAGCTCAGGGCCAGCTCTTCAGGGATCCCACCTTCACCTGGCCAGAACAGGGCCTCCTCCACCATACCTGGATCCGATCCTGAATATCAGCAACTACATCTTCTCCATCCCCCACCGGTGCCAGCTCCACCTCCTCTTGTTCAGGCTCTTGGTTCAGGGGCTGATAGGAGTAACCAGCTGGGCCTGCCCCCGTTTCCTCCTGCTCTTCCTCAGGCTCCTCGCTGCTCCAATCCCCAGTGCCTTCCGTAGGGCCCTGATGCGGTCCTAGTTCCTCAGTCTGGTTGGGGAAGATACGCTCGGGGCCCATGGTGTCTCCCCCTAGAACTACTGCTGCCATCCGGGCAGGGGCTGCAAAAACAGGGAGGCAGGAGGATAGGGATCGGATGAAATTTGGTCCACATTCGGCCCCTCATCCAGTTCCTTGAGGTCTCCTGGGCCCGCAAAACGTTCAAACGCTCCCAAGCTTCCTGCACCCCACCCTCTCCTGGGCCCTCCACCTTCTAAATCGACTCATATCTTGAACCGAGGCCCACCCCACTTGCTCTGCCAATTCTTAAATAACAGCCCGAACACGCCACCTCCCAAAAGACACTCCGTCCAGAACCCCGCCCTCCCCTACCCGTCCTCGACTTGGGAACTGTGGGTCGCCAAACATGTTCCCCTAGACAGGGCGTACCCGCCCCCTTCTCCCCTCTCCAAGGGGTTCCCTTCTGTACCGCCTGACAAACGCCCTTCAGGCCCCAGGGGCTCCCCTCTAATGGCCCCAGCTGCGGCGTCCGCCACCCGCCCCCACCGATTCTAGGCGCCGGTGTTTCCTCGCGCCTCACCCGCTCCGAGCCCGCGGCTGAACCCGCACCTTCACTTCCGGCGAGGCAGGACGTACTCTGGCGCTTGGTCCTCCCGCCCCGCCCCGTGCTCATGATTGACGCGATCGAGGGCGAGGAGAACGCCCCTTGCTCCGCCTTTGCCATCCCCAGCCCAGACAACAAAGGACTACATTACCCAGTGACCCTCCACGGGATTTGACACATATACGTACATGCGCACAATCTCCTTCGGCTCCTGCACTCTCCTCGGCCCCTCACGACCCTCCGGAAACCCGTGGACTACAAGTCCCGGTAGGCTTCAGGTACTTAGCTCTGACTGCACGTGCGCACACGGCCGCCCGCCGGAAGGACCGAGGCTGGCTGTGTTTATCTCGTTGGGGACCGAGGTGTCGGTTGGCGCGCAACGGGTTCTAGACTGCAGGCAGCTCGAGGACCCGCGGCCCCGCCCCGGCCCGGCCTGGCAGGTAGCCCGGGATGGGTTAAGGGACAAGGAAAATTGGAGGGGCTGGGGTCGCTCATTGCTGGAGCTGGAGTCGTGGGGGAGGGGCCTGAGAGTAATGAGGTGGGGGTGGGGAGGGAACTAGGGGGATGATGGGAACGGAGAGTGTTAATGGGGAAAGAAGGGCTGGGGGAGGATGGTGAGGAAACCAATGGAGGAGACCTGGTGGCTGGCGGAGGCACTGAAGGGAATTGGAAGAAACACTGGGCTATGAGGAGAAGGAGAAGCTGAGGATAATGGAAGAAAAGCGGGGGGAGGGTCTAGTATTCTGGGGGAGGAGAGGTTGGGACGACTGGAAGGAGACAGGGATAGCGTCATGTAGCGTGGGAATATCCCTGGCCGAAAGGGGTCAGTGAATATTAGCTTTTTCTCCCTTGGTGGCTCAGGGAAAATGGAGGGCTGTCGGGGTGGAGCTTGGTGCGGTGGGAGAAGGAAAAAGCAGAAAACTGCAAAGCTCTCAGGAGATCAAGAAGGGCCAAAAACGGGGAGTGAACATGGCAAGAGACCAGAGAGGGGGGTATGTACGTGAAGAGAATGGAAGAAGCTGGAGAATGCAGCAGTGATGAAGGATCCAGGAGACCCAGAGATAAGCGGGGACCCTGAGATGGTGGGAGCTTTTCTCCATGAGTTTGAGTTTTCCTTGTGAAGAAGCTACGATTCTGTCCACCTTTGGATGGAATTGCTTCTCTCTTCTCCTGTGAATTCTTTACTTTATCTTGACATAGCTGAAGGGGAAGTGGAAGCTATGAGGGAAAATGAAAGACTCGAATTCCTAAAACCTTCAACCTTCTATCTCCCGAAAGCCCAGATCCAAGATCTGTTGGGATTGAGGACAGGAATAATGAAGTGAGAGTGGTTTCCTGCTGGGGCTATTTCAGGTTTGGCAGGCTGGCTATTTAGAGCAAGGGATGGGGCTTGAGGGAGGTTGAAGGGGGAGGGGGCAAGCCAGCTGAAAGCTGTGTCTCTTTCTTTCAAGGGGCCTCCCTTACTTGCTTTCTCTGTGTCTGAGGTTCTGTCAGGCTCTTTCCTCTGCCAGGGCTTCCTGAACAGGGAGCAGATGATCTACTCAAACACAGCAGGTGCCTGCCAGCGAGGGCAATACCAGTTGGAGAAGCATTTGTTTGACAGAGCCTTCAAACGTACCCATTATCACTAGGTTGGCAGGTCATGCCTGAGTCTATTTATTGTCCTGCCCAAGGACATTTTTTGTTTCCTTTCTGTCTCTGTCTCTCTTTTTAAAAGATTTTATTTATGAGAGAGTGTGTGTGAGCATGAGCTGGGAGAGGGGCAGAGGGAGAGGAAGAAGCAGACTCCCCGCTGAGTAGGCAGTAGGGAGCCGGCTGTGGGACTCTGTCTCAGGTGTCTCAGGACCCAGAGATCGTGACCTGAGCCAAGACCTGAGCCAAAGGCAGATGCTTAACTGACTGAGCCACCCAGGCAACCCTCCTTTCTCTTTTCTAATGCAACCCTACCCCGTCCCCATAACAGGGATCCAAGTGGGAAAAGAGTTGCTAAAATAGCTTGTTTATCCTTACAATAGCAGGGTTGGGGAAGTAGCAGGAGGGGAAAACACCTCCTCTTCTCCCCCACCCCCTCAGTCCCCAGCAGACACATACCTTTCTGGCTTAAGTTCCTGGTCTTGGCAGGATACCAGGCACAGCTGTCAAAGGAACTTTGGAGTGCCTGTGAAGGGCCCTGGATGACCCTTATGACAACAGCTCAGCTTGGCAGGAGTTCCCTATGAGGGACTAACCATCCCTGGAGGTCCCTGCCCTGGATCAATCCCACCCTGTCCTGGATAGGGGGACTATTTTCACTCTAAAGGCCTAAAAGCTTTTCTGCTTTGAAGCACCAATGCCAGCTTTCAGTGGACCGATTGGGGTTGGCTGGGCTATTAATAGTCCTGAGTATTTTGAGATCCCTTTCCCCACCTTAAAGAGCAGAGATTCTTAGAGAGGTGGCAGTAAGCGGAGCAGAGCCAGAGAGACAAGAGAATGCACTGCCTTGGGAAGGAGGGTTGGGGGGTGAGGGAGTTGGGGGGCCCTTGGAGCTTGTGCCAGGCCAGGGATGGGATGGGGCCTCCATGAGTAAATGAGGATGACTGTGCCGAGCCCTTGATCAGCAGATTCTGAGCTGTCAATCAGGTCGGGAGTGGCCCCATCCTTCCCTGTTGGAGAACACAGGGCCAGGGCAAACTCCCTGACCTCTGCCGCTCCCCTGGGCCAGGGCCAACCACCTGAGCTTTGGACGGGTGGTGTGGGAGGGCCATCAGGGTGACACTTGGAGTGAAGGGCTGGTCCTGGGCAGAGTCATGGTGAGCCAGACAAAGGCCCTGCCTGAGGAGCCTGTGGCCCTAACTTGTGTGCAGGTAGCA